ACTTCTCCGTTCATCCTGAGGCCGAGTCCCACATACAGCAACTAGAAGGATGTGCAGCTACAACACACAACTATCCACTGGGGCTTTGGGGGGAAAAATAAAAAAAATAAAATCTTTAAAAAAAAAAAAAAAAAGTAGAAAAGTATTTTGTTAAACATATTATTTAGATTTCAAAAGTAAATTTGAAATAACAAAAGGTAGTTTAAATTTCTGGCAAGCAAGGTTCTTTTCTTTTTTTTTGTGAGGAAGATCAGCCCTGAACTAACATCCACGTTAATCCTCCTGTTTTTGCTGAGGAAGATTGGCTCTGAGCTAACATCTATTGCCAATCCTCCTCCTTTTTTTTTTTCCCCAAAGCCCCGGCAGATAGTTGCACGTCATAGTTGCACATCCTTCTAGTTGCTGTATGTGGGACACGGCCTCACCATGGCAGGAGAAGCAGTGCATCTGTGCACGCCCGGGATCCGAACTCGGGCCGCCAGTAGCGGAGCGCGTGCACTCAACCGCTAAGCCACGGGGCCGGCCCCTGGCAAGTAAGTTTCAAGTTCAGTTATAGAGCATCTTCAAGTGAGTAAATCAACCAAACTCCACCAAACAAGCTGCCTTAGACTCCCCAGTGGAGAGGACTCGGAAGCCTGGAGCCAATCTCACCACCAGCCTTGGGAGACACGTCCTTGCCATCCAGGTCACTGCTCCTGCCTGTGTGACCTCAGGCCAGTGTCTCCACCTGACTGTACTCAGTTTTCTAAGCTGTAAACAGGGATGTAATAGCATCTCCCTCACAGAGCTGCCATGAAGTCACTGGCCATTCCACGTAACATGCTTTGCAGAGCACCTGCCACATGGCAAGTGCTCAATACTGGACAGGTCATACAGCAGAGGGTGGACACTCTGGGCTCTAGAATCAGGCTGCCGGGGCTCCAGTCTCAGGTCAAACTTTTACTATACCCCTTTGGGCAAGCTGACTCAACGTCCCCAGCCTCGGCTCTATCATTTATAAAAAAGGGATAATAACAGGGCCATTGTGAGTAAGGCTTAGGACAGAGCACAGCACAAAGTAAGTGTTTAAGAAATGCTACCTGTTGCTATTTTATTCTTTCATCATCCAGAATCCTAACATTATGGTGACTTCTTCCTAAAACAATTCTTAAGAACTTAGATCCCAAGACTGCAAATACTCTAGTGCTAGAATCCACTTTTGACAATAATATGAAATGCTTTAAAAGAGCTCCCCAGGTGCCAGGCTCTGCTGTGAGCATTCATTGAATCTGCACAACCATTCTGTGAAGTCTGGAATGCCTCTGTTCTACAGATGAGAAATTGAGCCGCACACAGCTAGCAAGCCCAAGTGCTGGAGCTGGACTGCCTGGGTTTAATCCCAGTGCCACCACTGGGATTAGGTACAACATTCTTAACCAGTGTGGAACCAGAGTAGTGCCCAGCACAGAGGTTTAGAGCACGAACTCTGCAGCTGGACGCCTGGGTCTGACGCCAGCTCTGCTGCTTCCGCTGGATTACTCAGCGTCTGTGAAACAGGGATAGTTACAGAACCTACACCGTAGGCTTGTTCTGAGGATCAAATGAGTGAAGAGTTATAAAGTGGTGAGAAGAGCGCTCGGCACATGGGAAGCTATAGAAGTGTTTGTTAAATAAACAAAGACAGTTCCCCCTACAAGTTCAGTTACCTGATAGGGTGTCAGACCATGTAAGGGAGAAAGCGGTTTTGGCACTGGCGGCTGCAGCTGGCCAAGGTAACCTAACACAGCCAAATCACGAAGGACTTTGTTATGCGAGTCTCTGAAAAGTAAATCAGAACAAGGTAAGTAGAGACTTAACTTTACAGGTCTACCTGCCACTCAGAAGCAGAGCACACCTGTCATTACGTAGATTATATTCACACAGAGCACGTTCCCACCTTAACATCTGCAGACCCCGCCCTTCTATAAACCCACTGGAAAAACACGAGGCAGAAAGACTCTCCTTCAAGTCAAAGCTTCTCGCAACCAGAGCTGGAGGCCACTTCTGGATATTTCCATTGGGGAAGTAACAGTTCAGAAAATAACTGATTCTCCTTCATAAATAAATAGCTGTGACAGAGATTTGAAAACTTTTAGAGGACTCGGATTCCTTTTAAGGAATTAAGGACAGAAGGCCTTGTTAAACTGAAGAAAACTTAATTCTCCAGCCGTGATGGTCTACTTACCTATTTCTTGGAGTTTTTCTAAATGTAAAGTCCGACTGAACACACATCAGTTTGTGTCCAGTAAACACAACTGGACTCTCTTTCTCCTCATCAGCAAAGTCAAAATTCTCTGCAAATTCTGCCAGGTGAAAACCTCTGTTCCTGATTTTGGACTTGCTTTTTGTGTATAAGCCGTCCATGTCGTCTACGTAGTCGGGGGTGAGGTTTGGCATATATTTACATCGGCCAGAACTGAACTGAACCACGTGGCTAGGAGACAGCAATCGGATCAGATCAATGAGAAGCAAAAGCCCTTGGTCTGTGAGGAAGGAGATGACATTAGCAGTTAGTGCACCAAAAAAACACCACCACATTCCAATGAGAAGCTGGTATACTTATTCTGAGACAAAGAAATGATCAATGAGAAGAATCTCCTAAAAACTGGGCTTCAGCACTAATGCCTGAGAGCCAAAAGCTTATTCATACTGCCCGTCCCTTCCTGCCTCCATCCTTTGTGCCTCTGTGGGCTTACCTGACACCCAGCCCATCGTGTTGACAATAAGAGGCGACTCTCTCTTGTAGGAGCTGAACACATACTTAATTATCTCAATATAATTCTCACAGTTGTTTTTACAAGAAGTTTTCCCATAATAGACCATTTTCTGCGGTGTCCTCTGGTGGGTGAAAGGCGGCCCTAAGAAGATGAAGAGGGTAATCAATTGACTACTTGAAAGGTAGTGAGGGTTTTGCTTCAGCCATCATCACTGACAAAGATCCTTAGAAAATCTGAGACCAACCTACCACGAGGAATAGCTGTACTCCCATTTCCAGAAATCTAAGCTTTCAACTTAATACAAAGACATGCTCACTTTTACATACAGTTAACCCCAATTATGTCCCAATATGCCATTCATTCAATAAACATTCACTGAGCATCTGCCACATGCTGGGCATTCTTCTAAATACTTAAGACACATCTGTGAACAAAACAAATATCCCTGTCCTGACACAGGGTTACATTCTAATAACAACAACAATCAATTGTTGGAATATGGCACTTACTACATCCTAGGTACATTACACATAGTCTCTAATTTTCATAAAAACCCATAAAATACTGCCTATGAGGTAGGCAGTATTACTATCCCCAGTTTTACAGACAAGGAAACTGAGAGAGAGATTAACTTGACCAGTAGTAGATATCAGCTGGGCTTGAACTCAGGTGGCCCAGCTGACATTCCCCAATCACACCACCAGTCTGTCCAGCAGGAGCCACTTCCAACCTCCTCTGCTCGGGGCTAGGGCTAGCACACTCGGCAGGCAGGTGACCAGGACCACGTGGCAACACAGCAGGCAGGGCAAGGGCCTTGGTCATTATGGTTGGTGCAAGGCCACCTGGGACAAAGCTGGCCAGGCTCCCCTCAAGGTGGGGGCCAGGGGGTTCAGCGCAGCCCACAGCTGAGAGGGGGGCTGCAGAGTCGAGGGACTAACAAATACAACGAGATTGAGCACACGTGTCAACACACTGAGAATAACTGTAGTCAGGGTTCTTACATCAGAGAAGGAGCTTATAAATACGAAAGGAGGAACACTAACTGGAATGAACCCTTGGTGTTAGTCTGGAATCGGAATGATTGGTGCAAACACGTGGCTCTTAAAACACAGAAAAGATAGGGGCTGGCCCAGTGGCATAGTGGTTAAGTTTGCATGCTCTGCTTCAGTGGCCCCAGAGTTCGTGGGTTTGGATCCCGGGCGTGGACCTACACGCTGCTCATCAAGCCATGCTGTCGTGGTGTCCCACATACAAAAAATAGAGGAAGACTGGCACAGATGCTAGCTCAGCGACAATCTTCCTCAAGCAAACAGAGGAAGATTGGCAACAGATGTTAGCTCAGGGCCAATCTTCCTCACCAAAAAAAAAAAGAAAGAAAGAAAGAAAGCAAAGAGATACAGATGTATGAGTGTGTGTATATGCATATATATATGTGGCATGTGTGGGTTTAAACATACAAATATTCCCTAGATCTGTCCACTGAGGGAATGTGTCCACTGAGGGGATCTAGAAGCAATGACAGGGCCAGCCCCGTGGCTTAGCGGTTGAGTGCGCACGCTCCACTGCTGGCGGCCTGGGTTCAGATCCCGGGCGCGCACCGATGCACCGCTTCTCTGGCCATGCTGAGGCCGCGTCCCACATACAGCAACTAGAAGGATGTGCAGCTATGACATACAACTATCTACTGGGGCTTTGGGGGAAAAAAAAAAAAAAAAAAAAAAAAAAAAAAAGAAGCAATGACACCCCAGAAGAAAATAGCACACCTAGTTATAGCTCGAGGGAAAAACCCTGGCAAATACTACCTTAACCAAGTGATCAAGGCGAACATCCTGGTAACAGGACCATTTGACAGCATGTGGATTTGATGCACTGAGCACACAGCACCACTTATAAATCTAATCATGAGGGACATTCTACAAATGTACTCTTCAAAACTGTCAAGGTCATAAAAGGTAACAAAAGTGGGAGGAACTGTTCCAGACTGAAGGAGATTACAGACTTATAAGTATACCCTGGGCCTATACAGATGATTGGGACAAAGGACAAAATTCGAGTAACAGTACTGTAGCAATGTTACTATCCTGATTTTGGTGGTTGTGTTATGTATGTTATGTATATATGTACATATGTATGTAGCAGAGTGTCCTTGTTTTTAGAAATGCCTACTGAAATATTAAGGGGTAAAAAAGGAAAAGAAAATTAAATGGACTAGAGAAAATGTAAAAGAAAAAAAAGAGGAACAATGAATCCAGCCAAAGAGCTATGTCTAAACAACTATTTTTGATAAAGCTGTTAAAACAATGTAAATGTTTTAAGAATTCTTATTGACAAAAAGTCTGTTAAATCCCTAACATATCTAGCAACCTAATATGATACTATCTGCTTTTTTTAAAAGTCAACTAGGGGTCAGGCCGGTGGCCTAGTGGTTACGGTCAGTGCACTCCACTTCACTGGCCGAGGGTTTGGTTCCCAGGTGCAGACCTACACCACTCATCAGTGGCCATACTGTGGCAGAGACCCATATACAAAACAGAGGAAGACTGGCAACAGGTGTTAGCTCAGCGTGACTCTTCCTCACCAAAAAAAAAAAAAGTCAACTGAACAAAAATCACACGATTATCTCAACAGACACAGAAAAAGCATTTGACAAAATCCAACAACCTTTCATGACAAAAACATTCAACAAACTAGGAACAGAAGGCAACTTCTTCCATCTGACAAAAGGAAACTATGAAAAACCCACAACTCATGTCATACTTAGTGGTGAAAGACTGGATGCATTCCCTCTAAGACCAAGAACAAGAAAAGGATGTTTCCTTCTATTCAATGTTGTGCTAGAGTTTCTAGCCAGAGCTATTAGACAAGAAAAAGAAATAAAAGGCATCCAAACTGGAAAGGAAGAGGTAAAACTATCTCTATTTGCAGATGACATGATCTTATACATAGAAAATCCCAAAGAATTCACAAGAAAGCTACTAGAGCTAACAAAGGAATTCAGCAAAGTTGCAAGCCACAACATCTACATGCAAAAATCAGTTATGTTTCTGTACACTGGCAACGAACAATCTGAAAAGACATTAGGAAAGCAATTCCATTTATAATAACAGCTAAAAGAATTAAATCCTTAGGAATAAATCTAACCAAGGAGGAGAAATACTTATATGCTAAAAAACCACAAAATATTGCTGAAAGAAATTAAAGAAGACCTAAAAACTGGAAAGACATCCTGTGTTCATGGCTATGAAGACTTGACATTGTTAAGATGTCAATACTACCCAAAGCGATCTACAGATTCAACACAATCTCTAGCAAAATTCTAACAGCCGTTTTCAAAGAAATGGAAAAGCCAATGCTCAAATTCATATGGAATCCCAAGGGGTCCCCAAAGGCCAAAACAATCTTGAAAAAGAATGAAGTTGGAGGATTCACACTTCCCAACTTTAAACTTACTACAAGCTACAGAAATTAAAAGTGTAGTAATGGCATAGGACAGACATACGGACCAATGGACTAGAATAGAGAGCCCAGAAAAAAACCTTGCATATATGGTCAAATGATTATTGCTAAGTGTGCCAAGACCACTCAAGGAGGACAGGAGTCTTCTCAACAAACAGTGACTGGAAAACTGGATTTGTTGTCGTTAGTGCCATCGAGTTGATTCTGACTCCTGGTGACACTGTGCAGCAGAGCGGAGACCTGCCAGGTCTTTCAGCACCACCTTCTCACCCTCCTGCATATATTAGACAATGCTCCACTACTGTTCATAGGGTTTCCATGGTCAATTTTTTCAGAAGTGGGTGGCCAGGTCCCTCTTCTTAGTCTGTCTAGTCTGGCAGCTCCACTGAAACTTCTCCACCATGGGTGACTCTGCTGGCGTTTGAAATAACAGTGGCATAGCTTTCAGCATCACAGCAACACGCAGCCACCACAGTATGAAAACCAGCAGACAGTGGGTGTGGTCCCCTGACCAGGAATCAACTCTGGGCTGCAGCAGTGAGAGTGTCAAATCTTAACCACTAGACCACCCGGGCTAGCTAGAAAACTGGATATGGATATCCAAATGCAAAAGAATAAAGTTGGACCCTCCCCTTAATATCATATACAAAAATTAACTCAAAATGAATCAAAGACCTAAATGTAAGAGCTAAAACTTATAAAACTCTTAGAAGAAAACATCACAGAAAATCTACGTGACACTGGATTTGGTGGCAACTACGTGGATATGACACCAAAAGCACAGGCAACAAAAGAAAAAATAGATAAATTGGGCTTCATAAAAATTAAGAACTTTTGTGCATCAAAGGATACTATCAAGAAAATGAAAAGATAACCTACAGAATGGGAGAAAATATTTGCAAATCATATATCGGATAAGGGATTAACATCCACAATACATAACGAACTCCTAAAACTCAACAAAACAACCCAATTCAAAAATAGGCAAAGGACTCAAATAGACATTTCTCCAAAGAAGATATACAAATGGCAATAAGGACATGAAAAGATGCTCATCATCATTAGCCATTAGGGAAATGCAAGTCAAAATCAAAATGCGACATCACTTCACATCTAATAGGACAGCTATTATCAAAACAATAAGTACTGGTGAAGATGTGGCAGAACTAGGACAACTGCGCACTGCTGACAGGAATGTCAAATGGTGCAGCTACTGTGAAAAACAGCTCAGCAGTTTCTCAAAAAGTTAAACGTGGAACTACCATATGACCCAGCAATTCCACTCCTAGGTATATACCCAAAGGCACTGAAAGCAGGGTCTTGAACAGATCCTTGTACACCAATATTCATAGCAGCACTATTCACAATAGCCAAAAGGTGGAAACAATCCAGGTGTCCATCAACAGTTGAATGGATAAACAAAATGTGATTTATACATACAATGGAATAATATTCAGCCATAAAAAGGAATTAAATTTTGATATATGCTACAATATGGACAGACCTTAAAACTATTATGCTTAGTGAAAAAAGCTAGACACAGAAGGACAAATATTGTATGAGTTCACTTACATGAGGTACTTTGAATAGGCAAATTCATAGAGATGGGAAATAGAATAGACGTTACTAGGGTCTGGAGGGAGAGTGGGAGGGGGGAGTTACTGTTTAATGGGTACAGCGTTTCGGTTCAGGATGAGGAAAAACATCCCAAATTGATATTGACAGCGGTGATAGTTACACAACATTGTGAATGTACTTAATGCCACTGAACTATACACATATGAATGGTTAAAGTGATAAATATCATGTTATGTAAACTTCACCATAAAAAAAACTTCACCATAAAAAAAAAGCAATGTGAGATTCTGGGCTGGATTCTGAACCAGAAAAGGACATTAATACGAAAACTGGTGAATTTTGAATAAAAGCTATGGAGATTAGTTAACAGTATTAAATCAATATTAATTTCTTGGTTTTGGGGCCGGCCCCGTGGCTTGGTGGTTAAGTGCATGCGCTCCGATGCTGGTGGCCCGGGTTCGGATCCCGGGCGCGCACCGAGGCACCACTTCTCCGTCCATCCTGAGGCCGAGTCCCACATACAGCAACTAGAAGGATGTGCAGCTATGACATACAACTATCTACTGGGGCTTTGGGGGGAAAAAATAAATAAATAAAATCTTTAAAAAAAAAAAAAAAAATTTCTTGGTTTAGATCATTGTATAAGATTATATAAGATGTTAATATTAGAGAAAGATGTTTCTAATTTACATAAAACAAAATGGATAGCAGTTCCATTTACTAAAATGGAACCCTGGAAAAGTATCAGTTTGGTATTTTTTCCAGAGGCTAGAGGACCAGTTATGAGAAGACCATGAGGTTGGTAGGGGGATGTTCACTTTTTATATTTTATACTTTTATATTCTTTATAGTTTTTTTATAAGTATCACTACTTTTGCATTTTATAAAACCAAGATATTTAAGAAATATATAATACATACCTAGGACTGGTTCTGTAATATTAAGTAAAGAAATACAACCCGGAGGAGTAAATTCTGTCTGTCCCAGATCACATTCCAAATAGTCAACACAGGAAATACTGCAAATTTAAAAGAAAGAAAGAAAATTTTAACTAGCTTTACTATATTCAAAAGATAAATAAGATCTTAAAGATTTCATGCAATCCACAGGCATAATTAGGTGGAATGCTCCAAAGATGACAATCAACATAAAAAATAAATGTAAAGAGAAAACGTGATATAGGCATGGTCACAGTGCCCACTCATAATATGGATACCACTCTGTCTTTCCTAAAATTTTTTTTTTTTTTTTTGTGAGGAAGATCAGCCCTGACCTAACATCCATGCCAATCCTCCTCTTTTTGCTGAGGAAGACTGGCCCTGAGCTAACATCCGCACCCATCTTCCTCCACTTTATGTGGGACACCGCCACAGCATGGCCTGACAAGTGGTACCTTGGTGCGCGCCCGGGATCTGAACCTGGGCTGCCAGCAGCGGAGTGTGCGCACTTAACTGCTACACCACAGGGCCGGCCCCTAAAATTTTATCTCTGAAATGTAACAGAATTCATCCCTACTCTGAATCTCTGGATTTGGACAAACTTAGATTCTAAGACCAAGTGACTCCTCTCAAAAGCTCACAGATAGGCAACATCAGTACACCCTGAGAGCATTGTCACCCCACTCCAAAATACAGCATGACAGAGGATGCCACCACTCAGCCAAGCAGCCTTTTTTTTTTAATTTTGTGTTCTACATTTAGGTCTGTAATCAATTTTTTTGTTGTTGCTGTTGTTGAGGAAGATTAGCCCTGAGCTAACATCTGTGCCAATCTTCCTCTATTTGGCATGTGGATCGCTGCCACAGCATGGCTGATGGGTGGTGTAGGTCCACGCCCAGGATTTGAACCCACAAACCCAGGCCGCTGAAGCGGAGTGCACCGAACTTAACCACTACGCCATGGGGCCAGCCCCCTAGCCAAGCAGCCTTACAGAGCTGTATATAATCTCTAATTAGAAGTCAAGATGCCTTCCCATCAGTTTCATAAATCAAAATTACTACTTCATGTCAAAAATCTAGCAATATGTCAAAACCAAAATAAAAATACTCTTACCTATTTAACAATTGGTTGATCAGGAATCTATTAAATGTTGACTTTCCAACGTCCTGAGATCCACAAACCAGAATGATAGGACAGCCATCTACTTCTTCTGGAGATGAAACAAACATTGACCCCCAGAATTAGCCATCTTCTTTAGGACCCTGATCATAAATAGTATGATACTATAATACTATAATATAATAGTATTACTATAATACTCTGAGGCTCCGGCAGATAAACACTCAAATTTATCGATATGACTCACCACAAGAAACGTTGACTAACTCTTCCAAGGCTGAAAGGGCACTCTCAGTTAAACGAAGGCCGTTTTTTTTCCTCTCTTTTTTAATGGCAACAGACCTCAAGGCTAAATACTCAGAGTTAATCTGGAAAGTCGGACTCTGAAATTGACAATTTAAACTTTAAGAAAAGGTGAAAACAAACATGCCTTTTTTTCTTCAGCTCATACAGCTGTGAGCTACAAAAGTTAAATTTGATCCCTCCCTTTCTCTCACCCCCCAAATCCAACCCTTCAGTAACTCGTGTCAATTCTTTTCCTTAAGTTATCCGTGGCTCTGTTTTCATAGCTTACTCTTACTTCCAAGCTGCCATCACCTCTGCAGAAGACTCCAGAAAAAAAGTTAGTGTAACTTTAATGCGTGAAAGTTAAAAGGGGTTGCCAGGGCCGGCCCGGTGACGTAGCGGTTAAGTGCGCACCGTGTGCGGCGGCCCGGGGTTCCCAGGTTCAGATCCCGGGCGTGCACCGACACACTGCTTGTCAAGCCATGCTGTGGTGGTGTCCCACAGAAAGTAGAGGAAGATGGGCACGGGAGTTAGCTTAGGGCCAATCTTCCTCAACAAAAAAGAGGAGGACTGGCATCAGATGTTAGCTCAGGGCTGATCTTCCTCACAAAAAAATAAATAAATAAATAAAAGTGATTGCCAAAGGAAAAATTCAATAGCAGACCACAGCTATAGAACAGGTTGGTGATTTGGAATAAAATCAAGACAATCTCCAAAAACATAAAGCAAAAGGACAAAAAATATATGCAGATAGAGTTGAAAGATGTGGAAGACAGGTATTCCAAGTCACAGGCCGTTCTAACTGAAGTACCAGGAAACCACGGGAAAGCAACCCAAGGAATGAATGTAGGAGCTCGATCCTTGCTGAAGCAGGTGGGGATCAGATGGAATAAGGCCACCGTGTCCAAGAGGCTCAAGGAAGAGACCCAACCACGAATGCATCCTCATGTAATTCATCAACCCCAAAGATAAAGACATCATAAAAGAAATGAGAATCAGCCTGGTGTGAGATTTCCTATCAGCAGGTCTGGATTCCAGAAAACAATGGAGCAAGGCCTTCAAGGTTATCACGAAAACTTCTCTTGAACCTACAATTCTACACTCTGCCCAGCTATCAATCACTGAGGGCAAAATAAATATCTCATAAAATGAGATAATCTAAAGTTTACTCTCTGCCTTATATAAAAATCTAGAATGTATTACACATAAGCAGGGGGAGGGAAGTTATCCAAGAAAGAGCAAAAGGAATATAAACAGTAGTGGTTAAGGAAAAAGACTGTGTGTGATCATGGTGTTTGGAACATTCACTTTCAAGTGGTAAGGGCTTGGTAACACGGAATTTCCATTTCCTTCTCTATGGCCCTGATCTAGCCACTGGATCCCGCAATAGATTAAATTTAGGTAACCACAATAGTCCATTCATTATCCCATCCTCATTTCATATTTTTCCCTCTCACTTCAAACCTCCAACACCTACCTACTACCTACACCCCCGTCAGTGATGACCTTGATCCATTTCCCAGAGTAATAGGAAACAATCAAGAGAACTTCCACTTGTCTCTGGTCCTCTCCTGGGCATTTCCTCCAGCCATTCTGAATGAAGTGGCTGTGCTCCCAAGGCCAACCCCTCCACAGAGACACCAGAACCAGAACCCCTCCCTCGAGGCCAACTCATTGACATACTCCAGCCATCTTCACCTCTCTCTACTGCATCAGTGCTCTCTCCTCTGGATCAGTCCCACCTGCTGTGTTCACACGTGCTATTTTTTTTAGCCATCTTAACAAAAAAACAAAACTCTCTTAATTACTCTCACTCCTCCAACTACTATGTCATTTCTTTCCTTCCCTTTACAGCTAAACTCCACAAAAGCAAAATCCCTTACCACCAAACCCTTGAGTTCCTCTCTTCCCAGGTTCTTGACTCCATTCCAATCAGGCTATCTCCCTCAGCAATCTACTGACACCACTCTTGTCCAGGCCATGCTTCTACATCCAGAGTTCCTTTCTCAGGCCTCATCTTACCACCAGCAGCATCTGACACAACTGTTTACCTCCATCTCCTTTAAAGACTTCCTGATCACACTCACCTAGTCTTCCTCTAACATCAATCACCCCTCTTCAGCCTCTGCTGCTCCCTCGTCTAAACCACTTCTTTCGAGTGCCCCGAGGATCAGTCCTTGACCCTTCTCATTTCTATCTGTATCAACTCCCTTGGTGGTGTTATCTCACGTCATGGCCTTTGGAACTCTCCTCTGCTGAAAGCTCTCAAATTTACATTTCTAATTTCTTCTCTGAACTCCAGACTCACATATTCAACTGCCCACTTGACATCTCCAACTGAATGTGTAACAGGCATCTCAAAGTTAACGTATCTAAATCTGCTCCTCCTACAGGGCCCTCATCTCAGTTAATGGGAACTCCACACACCCAGGTGGTTAGGCCAAAAAGCTTGGTGTTATTCCTTGATTTTTCCTCACACCTCACATCCAGTCTGTCCAATAATCCTGTGGATTATACTCAATTTATGGCTCATGGGAGACAATTACAGTAATAGAACTTGACTTTAGGAAATTAATAACATGGCCAGCAAAAATTTGGAGGTGAAAAAGGGCGAGAAGGGAGAAAGTGTAAGTACACCGAAATTACTCATTCATAGTTGACAGAAAATTTATACTGTCTCAAGTTAAATTAATCAGATATAAAGATAATCATTTAAAAATGCCAAAAGGCATTTAACCAACTACAATATGAAATGATGGCTTTCATTGGGAAATGTCACTAAGGGGAGAAGAGACATTTTTCATCATTTATCTTTCCACACTATTTTTTACTGTACACACGTATTACCTTCTGTAAGAGCTACAGTACAACATGACAGACAGACTGATCTCCCCAGGGAGCAGCCTACATAGTCATTTGACATGACTGTTTTGGTGACAGTAATTAGCAAAACTCTGAATGAAAACTGGTTCTACCTCTTGTACAAAAACGTAAGATAAACCTGGATGGCTGATTATGAAGTTTACAGTGGAGGTTTTCAGATGTTCTAGCATCACAATGGAACACAGAGGAGAAAAATTCTTCATCAACCAACACCTGTCATCTGTAAAGAGAAAAATAAACTACTTTAGAAATAGAGACTCCATTAAATTCTATGCCCTTTAGGACTACCATCTCCTTGGCTAAACTGCAAACTTTTTGAGAGTAGGAATTATGTTTGAGAGCCTTTTTCAGAAGGCCGTAATGCATAATAGGAACACACCTGGATGGAGAAGTGAATCCAGGTTTGCTACACACTAGCTGTGTGGCCTTGGGGAACTTTTCTCATCTGTAAAATGGCGAAAACAAGAGTTTCACTCTCAGGACCCTTGTGTTTAAACAAATATAGTCAAGTGTGCAATGTCTAGGCCATAGTAAGCATCTAAAAATTACTAGCCTTGGGCCGGCCGCGTGGCTTAGCAGTTAAGTGCACATGCTCCACTGCTGGCGGCCCGGGTTCGGATCCCGGGCGCACACTGACACACCGCTTCTCCGGCCATGCTGAGGCAGCATCCCACATACAGCAGGATGTGCAACATACAGCACATATAGAAGGATATGCAACTATGACATACAACTATCTACTGGGGCTTTGGGGAAAAAAAAAAAAAGGAGGAAGATTGGTGATAAATGTTAGCTCAGAGCAGGTCTTCCTCAGCAAAAAGAGGAGGATTAGCATGGATGTTAGCTCAGGGCTGATCTTCCTCACAAAAATAAATAAATAAATAAACTTAAAAAAAATAAAATAAAAATTACTAGCCTTATTATAGTAAGCTCTCAGTCAATTAACCAGTTCTTTTCCTTACCTCGGTTAAGATGAGATCTGAGCAGAGTTCGGGCTTCCCTTTTCATCTCCTTCTTGCTTTTCTCAGGCATCGAGTAATGAACTGCACTGATAGTCAGGCGAGAGTGGGTATAGGTAGAGAAGACATCTTGGGCAGGCTGGCCTTGGCTGATGGTAAAACCAAACACCTGCACCTGGCCATAGAGGCAAGTCACACGACAGATCCCGCTAAACGTAAAACCCTAGGAGGAAAAGAAAAAAAGACAGGAAGAAATAACATGACAGGTTCTGTTACTAACAACTGAAATTTTCTAAAATCTTAATCACTATTCACTATCAAAAGAAGGCTGATTTCTAAAGTAACAGAATACATTGTAGTAGGTGGCCATCACGTGCTCTGTATTTTTAACCTAAGATCGAATCCCATGACAGCTACAGAGACAGCTGGTGAACACTGACACATGAAGAACAAGGGGGTGCCATGAACTGGGCTCTGCTGTTCTCAGGGCTCCCTGTCCTTACAAAGGCCCGCTCCTGCCAAGTCTCTCCCATTCCTCGGTTTTCACTTGCCTCCAGCATTGGAGAGGGACCTCCCAGACCAGCGTGCAAGAGCAGGAGCCCGGCAATCAGGCCGCCTGGGTTGAATCCCAGCTCTGCCTCACCTAAGCCATACTCAGTTTCTTCGTCTGCAAACATGCACAGTGACAGCGGTAACGACTCAGAGAGCTGGGAGTATTAAACGGGTTCGTAAAACCTTAGAGCCTGGCATTTCTAAGTCCCCGGTAAATGCGACCTATTATTGTTACTACTAAAGGCCCTTTCAGCCCTGAAGGCCTAGAATCCCCTCGGCAGGGTCCTTGTTACCCTCTGCTCAGCACCACCGGCACGAGGGATGCGCCCGACTTGCGGCCGGAGAACCGGCAGAAGGGACCACGGTCTTCCCCTAGCCTGCACCGCCCTCTGCCCGCCCGGCTCCCCCCGCCACGCACCTGCTCGAGCGGCAACAGCACCAGTGCGCGGCCCGGGCCGGCCGGCCGCACCGGCGGGATGGGGAGAGTCGCGAGGTAACTCGGGTCGGCGTCCGCCGCCGGGGCCGGGCTGGGGGTTGGGCTGGACGCCGGGCTGGGGGCGGCGGTCTTGGGCC